CCAGGTGTAGCACTGGCCCCAGCCCTTCACGAAGCTAATCTGCACGGTGAAGCCCGTCCATGGCTGCTGCATGAACTCATGGTCATTGGGCCGCTGCAGGCTGTATGCTTTCTCATAGTCGAAAGCCTTGATGGAGAAACCAGGGAACACCTTATGCACCAACAGCGTCCTGGAGTCCGGGTTGTCCAGTGTGGCGGACTTGATGAAGATGGGGTAACTGCTACGGTTGTACACCCACACGCCATCCACTTCCCTCGTCAGCTGGATGCCACAGCCAATCTTACTCCGTACTTTCTGTACCAGCTGACTCTTGTTGTCCGAATTGAGCTGTCCGAGGCAAAAGCCATTCCCCTGAGGTAGATCATAGAAGATATCCAGGGAGGGCTCTTGGACACAGTAGAGCCTCCCCACTCTCGTCTTCTCCTCCCAGTATGCCACCACGCACCAGTGTGACCGATCCCCAGGTTTCAAAAGAAGTTGGGAATCTACAAAACAAAATGGCAGACAGTTGGCGGTGGTGACCAGGTTCTTTTCCCTCCTGAAATCAAAAGACATACATATACACTTGCTCTTGAGTCCCCATAGCCAGCACAAAACAAAAAGAGGGAGTAAGGGTAAGCCAGGACTCCAGGTAGAGTCGATGATGCTAATGGGGGAAAGACATCTTAATTAACCTTTAAGCATGGGGCTTACTGCCATGCCCTCCTTCCCTCTCCTTCCATACAATCAGAAATCCACAGCATCAGCACCTGTGCCTACTTATCCCCTGAGAAGCACAGACACTGAAACCCTTGATAACTCGGTTTTACTGTGTTGGGGTGGAAAAGGCCTCAGAAATAGCCTAGAATTATAGTTGCTTCCCACAGATGGAACCTTGAGGGATAGCTCTACCATCCTGGATGATAGACGTTGGCCTACTGGGTGGTGTGACCCAGGCAGACTGAGAAGCCAGGTGGCCTGTACCCTCTGCAGCTAGCTAGTAATACAGGCTAGTCACCCAATTCTCACATCAGTACTTTGTTCATAAGGGAGTATCAGCTGATAAAGATTCAGGAGGCTCCGGGTTAAAAAAAAAAAAAAAAGCCATCTCCCTGACAGAAACCAACTCTCTCTCTGTAGGTGACAGTAGTAGCCTGTACAAAAGAGTTAGCTCAAGTTCAAATGTCAAACTACAACAGGCAGGTGGACATCAGCCTAGACCACTTCCGGCCCAGACAGAAGATGCCCTGTCTGAAATAAATGTGACCATCCTTGAGGTATTCCATCTCTGCCCGTCAATCTTCCCTGGAGGTGCCTCCCCTGCTCCAGGGAGGCTGCATGGTCCACATTGACTCTTGTGGCATTCCACCTGCCCCTTCCCTGGCTTGCAAGACCTCCCCAGCACAGCCCTCAACAGCCTGGAAGCCTGGGATGAAGGTGGTGAGGTGATTTTCTACACAATTGTTCTGAGACCTTTAAAAGGGGGCTATATGGAGGAAGTGCCTTCCCCCCCTGCACTGCACTCTGCTACCTCCCCTAACTCTAGCCAAGAGAACAGGCCTCAGACTGAGGACTATAAATCTCCCCAGCCCCGCCAGGCTGCAGGAACGAACGCTGTGGTTTGTGGCAGCAGGGTGGAGACCGGAAGTCTTTGTATTTGTTAACAGAAATGGGGAAAGGCAAGAGGGAAGGAGAGGGGGTGGGGACACTGAGGCAGAACTGGAAGCCTCCTACCCCTCTCCTCCTCCTGTAGGCTCTTTTAACCATGAAGATGGAGTCTGGGGAGGGGGGAGGGGGGATTGTGTCCTTGAGGCCTTTGTTTCTGGGCTCAGAGTGATGAAGGCTGTCCCCATGCAGGGGCAGGACCAAGAAGACTCAGCCTTGTTGGTAACCCAGGGCAACTTGGTACATCAATCCATTCCAACTTTTACAGGCATGTTAGGACCTGGGATCCAGTCAGCTCCATTGCCTTTTTTTTTTTTTTTTTAAAGCAGCAGTTGGTTTTGGATGGGACATCCCATGAGTGAGTTCAGACATCAGACAGACTGATACCTACAAGGTAGCCACATATACACAAATTCTGAGCGGCTGTCCTGAACTACAGACACCCCCAACACACTGGCCTTCCCAATCCATACCTTCTAGCACACAAGGAAATGCCAAGATGGGGGAGTGGTGGATTCCTTTCCTGGAATCCTGACCCCACTGAAAATCAACACCACAAACCTGCACTGTCCCCTGCCCCCACTGCCATGAACCTACCCACCAAATATACAAGACAAAGTATACAAGACTGCATGTGTGTCTTTGTGGGCTTGTGTGTGTGTGTGTGTGTGTGTGTGTGTGTGTGTGTGTAGTGTCTGTCCCTGCACACACACTAGAAAATATGAAAAACAAGAGAAGGACGAGGGCTCTGCACAGAAGGTGACTCATCAGCCACTAACTTGTCTCTGCAAAGTGTCCATCAACTGCTAATAAACTCGTGAGCTCTGGCAATCTCTGAACTTGCAGAGGCAGCTCAGTTCTGAAAGCCACACCAAGGTCCCCTAACACCCAATGAAGTCAGACACCACTGGCCACAAGAGTACACCAAAAGTGTCCCAACTTGGGACAAGAAACCTGACCAAGGACAGAAAGACTTGGGGAGTGGTTAAAAAGAAGGAAAAGAGTTTGGGAAGACTCTCGGAGGGGCCTCACAAAGCTTTGTTTCATGCAGCCCAGCCCCACTGAAACCTGGCACCAGACTGGAAGTAAGGGGAAGGGAATGAATGAAGGAAAGGGGAGGGAGGAGGAGGAGCCTGGGATCAAGTTGCTCCCCATGCCAGGCAGGCTGGCCTCCTCAGCAAGGGGTGGGGGTCCTGTCTGCCCTGCAAGCCTCTGGGGCAGAACAAACCGGGAGAGGCTGGGGCCTGAGGCCTGTGGGAGAGAGGGAGCAAGGAGTGAATGTGTGCCTGGGTTTCTTTTTCATCTGTACAACCAGTCTACCCAGCAATTTGCTGCCAGACATCCCCAGGAAAAAAATCCCTTTTCTGTTGAGGTTAATGGCCCAGCCCAGATAAATGGCAGCGTGGGTGTCCCTTCGATGCACCACAGGGAGACCCCTACTTGCTCCTCCCAGTCTCCAGCCCCACACAGAGCATCCCTACACCTCCTCTTGCTCCTGCCCAGACTATTTCTGAGCACAGGCCAGCAAAAAGCCCTCAGTGCACATCCCAATGCTGAGGCCAGACCATGAGAACCTAGAGCAGCAGCTTACAATGGTGGCACCCACATGTCTACCTTGGCTCGAATACTGACTGGTTAGGCTCACTTATGAGAAATCAACCAACATCATCTTCTTAGGAACAGCTACCTGAATTGGGCCCAGAGCCCACAGGTCTCTGAGTTTCCCAGGACACATGGACAGGGCCTTGGAAGTCTTGGTCGCCACAAAGATGAGTGGGGAGAGGACAGGAAACCCAACTATGGCCTCACTGCTCATACCCCCAACACAAACCCACTCACGCTTGTCAATCCATTCCAGCTTTATAACCTTTCCGGGGTTTTCAACTTTTCCTCCCCAGAAAACTGTACAGGGGCTTGTTTTTAAACTGCATGCATTCATTCTAAAGCATCCAAAAGAAAAGCTACATTGTAAAAAGTTCACTAATCAGATGCCTGCTCACAATTTTTTATTACAGCTGAGGGAATTTTTGGAGCAATACCAGAAAAATGCTGAATCTGCCTAAAATTCCATTAAGGTGTTTGCCCCTCCCCTTCCACATTTTCCTTAACTCATAAAATCTTCTGGGGGGGGGGAGGCTGAGAAGGGGAGGATTTTACAGTGTCTGCATAGGGAAGACCACTAAGCAAGGAGAGCTACCACCCCTGGTCCCCAGTGAACACACTAGATGGACACTTGTAGACTAGGGACTCATGAATGACTTTCATACTTTAGGCCTCCATGGAACAGGGTAACTAGACCTCAAGGTCACAAGTTAAGAACAGAAGAAATCTCATTTAAAAATGTATAGGGTTAGGCTAGGCATTGGTGGTGGACTCCTTTAATCCTAACACACTCGGGAGGTGGAGGCAGGCAGAACTCTGTGAGTTCAAGGCCAGCCTGGTCTACAGAGAGAGCTCTGGGACAGCCAAGGCTACACAGATTTTCAAAACCATCTCAAAAAACCAAAACCATATATATATAGCCATTGAGATGGCCCACTAGGTAAAGGTGCTGACAACCAAGCCTGACAACTGAGTTTGATCCCTGAAACCCAGATGGTGGCAGGAGGGAACCAACTGCCCCTGACTTCCAGAAATACAACATAGCACAATTGTGTGCCCCGTACAATAGATAGATAAATATGGCAAGTAAACAAATAAAACTTGAAGGTGTGAAGAGAGATGCAAGAGGAAGAACGCAAGGAGGGAAAGGCCAAGTTTGGGGTCTCCAGCTCACAGAGCCAAACATGAAACTATGATGTCATCCAGAAACATCAACGGGATTCTCCTATCACAGACACACCTGACAGTGGTGTCCACACACAGAACAGGCACTGATGGGGAGGTGTCCTGGAATTCGGACCTTTGGTGACAGAAACAAACCTAAAAAATAGAGTCCAAATGGACAGAGTCACAGGAACTGGCTGGCACTCACAAGGTTAACTGTGCCAACTGCCAAGCCATAGGGTGGCTAGAGTTGCAGATTGCAAAGGAGGGGGTCTCACCCATTCTCACCTGTGTGAGACGCTTGGATTATAAAGTGGTTTTTCTCTGCCAAAACCCAACGCCTCCTGCTTGGTCAATCCAAACAGGAAGGGCACCTAAAGAGCAACATTGCTCCCAAAGGCCTTTCCATGCAGGTCAGGAGTAAACAAAGGCAGACAAGTAGACACAAAGGCCAAACACTGAATGCCATGACCTTCCTGCCACAGGTCAAGGGTCCTCTCTCCTCGGGACTGAGCGCCACCAGCAGCTGCCCCATTCTGTCCTACTACGTCTCAAAGGTTGACAGAGGCACTACTGCCCGGCTGCTCTCCATTTAAAGAGCTGACCTTTCTGAGTTCACTCCAGCCATTCCGGGACCATAGGTAAATAAGAGGGTCCAACACCCAACCTAGGCTCACCCTGTATCATTACAACACGATGAAACCTCACAGCCAATAGGGAAAGCTATTGGCTTGAACTTATCAAGTCTGCAAGCTAATTGAGAACATGGGTAGAAATATAGCCCTGACTTCCGGGAGGTCCGAGACAGCTCGGATAACTTGGAGCAACTTACCTACAAAAGCTGAAATGCTTCGGTTTAATTCTCCATTGCTAAGAGCCCTGAGACTCAACCCCAACTCCCACCCTTCACTAAGGGGAAGTGAAGCTGGATTCCACCCCCACCCAGCAGTATCTCAATGATACTGGTTGCAGGGCTGGGAGGAGTGAGTGGTCAGAGGGTGTTTTGGAATCTCCTTCAAGACCAGGGTACACAATCAGATCCCTGGGCCCAATTGGCTAAATCCCTAAACCCAAC